CACACACACACACATTTAGAACGGCATTTAGAAATTTGTGTTAGGAATCTTTCATAACATTATATACCACATATGTCAGACCAATCCTGAAGTATGCGGCTCCAGCATGGAGTCCATATCTAGTCAAGCATAAGACTAAACTGGAAAAGGTTCAAAGGTTTGCCACCAGACTAGTACCCCAGCTGAGAGGTATGAACTACGAGGAGAGACTACGGGAATTAAACCTGACTTCATTGGAAGACAGAAGAGTTAGTGGGGGACATGATCACCACCTTCAAGATTCTCAAGGGAATCGACAGGGTAGATAAAGACAGGTTATTTAACACAAGGGGCACACGCACTAGGGGACACAGGTGGAAACTGAGTGCCCAAATGAGCTACAGAGATATTAGAAAGAACATTTTTTTTAGTGTCAGAGTGGTTGACAAATGGAATGCATTAGGAAGTGATGTGGTGGAAGCTGACTCCATACACAGTTTCAAGTATAGATATGATAGAGCCCAGTAGGCTCAGGAATCTGCACATCAGTTGATTGACCGTTGAGAGGCGGAACCAAAGAGCCAGAGCTCAACCCCCGCAAGCAAAAATAGGTGTGTACAAATAGGTGAGTACACACACACAAACACACACACACACACACAAGAGAATGAGGATGGAATGAAGAGAGTCGGTTTCAAGGTAATGTACTCAAACATAGATGGGATTACGTTGAAGGCAAGTGAACATAGGGAAAAGATGGAGATGCAGATGCCGGAGTGAAAGGGAAGGTACTCCGCAGGAGAAGGGAGTACCTAAGCAACAGAAAACAGCAAGTCACTCTGAGAGGTGAGGTCTTGGAGTGGCGAGACGTCACCAGTGGAGTCCCTCAGGGATCAGTTCTTGGACATATACTGTTCCTGATATATGTAAACGATCTCCTAGAGGGAATAGACTCGATCCTCTCAATGTTTCCGGACGACGCAAAAATTATGAGAAGGATTAAAATGAAGGAAGATAGTATGAGGCTACAAGATGACCTAAACAATCTGAACGAATGGTCCAACAAATGGCTACTAAAGTTCAACCAAGCAAATGTAAGGAAATTAAATTGGGGGAGGAAATAGCAGGCCAGACACTGGATACAGAATGGGAGATGAAGTCCTTCACGAAACGAACAGAGAGAATAATCTAGGAGTTGATATCACGTCAAGCCTTCTCCCGAAGCCCAAATCAAAAGAATAACATCGGCGGCGTATGCGAGGCTGGCTAAATCAGAACTGCCTTCAGAAACTTGCGTAAGGAATCTTTCAGAACCTTGTATACCACGTATATATGACCAGTCCTGGAGTATGCGGCCCCAGCATGGAGCCCGTACTTTGTAAAGCTCAAGACGAAACTTGAAAAAGTTCAGAGGTATGCCACTAGGCTAATCCCAGAACTAAGAAGCATGAGTTACGAGGAAAGGCTGAGGAAACTGCACCTCACGTCGCTGGAAGACAGAAGAGCTCGGGGAGACATGATCACCACATACAAGATCTTAGGGGAATTTACAAGTTAGACAAGGATGGATAATTTAACACGGGTGATGCACGCACAAGGTGACACAGGTGGAAGCTGAGTACCCAAATGAGTCACAAGGACGTTAGAAAGAACTTTTTCAGTGTCAGAGTAGTTAACAAGTGGAATGCATTAGGCAGTGATGTGGTGGAAGCTGACTCCATACACAGTTTCAAATGTAGATATGATGGAGCCCAGTAGGCTCAGGAACCTGTAAATCAGTTGATTGATGGTTGAGAGGAGGGACCAATGAGCCAGAGCTCAACCCCCGCAAGCACAAATAGATGAGAACTCACACACACACACACAAGGGGCCTCGCGGGTGAGTGGACAGCGTTCTGAGGTCGTAGACCTAAGCTGGGACCGGGTTCGACTTCCGGGAGAGTAAAAAATAAATGGGCAGAGTTTCTTTCACCCTGGTGCCCCTTGTTCACCTATCAGTTAATAGGTACCTGGATGTAAGACAGCTGTTAGGTGCTGTTTCCTGTGAATGTGTGCGAGTATTAGAGAGAAATATGTGTAGTTGACATAAAGAGGAAAAATAAATTGGTTAGAAAGGCGGGGTCCAAGAGCTAATATACCTTGGTTCTTCAGATACAAATAGTAAATACACATATTCTAGTGTGTGTATTTGCACATACTAGTACACACACGCAGAAACACAAGCTCAGGCAAATGGGCACACACCTGAGCACGAATATCCTCTCAAGACTAAGCCCATGTGCACACTTATTATGAAAGAAAAACTCTCATGCGTCGACATTACACACACTACACTCTGACAGCTTCTTAAGGCACCTCCCTTCTTACGAAAAATATTAATCAGCTTTTTTACTGATAGCTTTTAATCTCCTGATGTCACGAAATGTGCTAGACCAGTCTATTGCACCGTTGACCGTCCCTTTCATACACCTGCCATCCAAGATTCTTTCTTTGCATCCTCAATTATCATTTGTTTCTTACCTACTTATTTTCTAAATCAACTTCATACGCCCCTATTAGTTATGTGCTGTGAGGCTGTAATTGTATTATATTATTGTTCTTCTGCACCTTATCTCTTGTGTCCCATGTTTATTATCTCCTCAGTCATATAAGCAAAAAAGAGGTGGAAGGAACCCTCAATCTATGTAAACGTGCATATGTTGTGTGTGTATATATATATATATATATATATATATATATATATATATATATATATATATATATATATATATATATATATATATATATATATATTTATATTATATTTATATATATATATATATATATATATATATATATATATATATATATATATATATATATATATATATATATATATATATATATATATATATATATATAAATACACATATATTTAATATATATATTTCTTGATATTCAGAAATTTTATTACATTTGGCTGTCAGTCCTCTGTACACGGCAGCTTGACAGTATGTGATACCGGCAACAAATACTAACAAAGTAACACAACTTCAAAATCAATTGTTGGATATCTAAGGTGAACCTTAAGTGTCACTGAGCATAAAGATCTTAACATCCTCTTGCTAATTATTTGCACACAATTTAACTTCTGGGGAATTTTCAAGGTGAATTTCAAATTTCATTAGAGGCTGTAATGGAAGTTTAAAGAAAATCTTATTTGGTGTTCATTAACCCAGTGTCAGACTATTTACATTTATGTGATAATTTATATCTAATAAAACACCCTAAAAACTAGCGAACAATTAATAAATTGTGAAAAATCTAGTAGCTACTATTCAGTTAAGATTTTCATCGTCATACACTGTCAAACATTATGAACAGTGCCCCCACCCTTTCCCCTAACGACGGAAGGAGGGGACAGCAACTATTCATAACACTTGTCATTGTTTCGTATTTAAAAAGGTCAGGCAGTCCTGGCGTGGTATCAAAGTCACGTTTCTCCAGCTACTAATTCAAAATTTAACATGGTATAAGTTAAACGTAAGATTCACTGTAGGGAACTGCTTCTCCAGTATTTGCAATATCATTACGCGCTTTTTTCAGTCTATAAAAGCCAGCTTTAGAGAAGTCTTCATGAAAATTATATTGTGGTAGTGAAAGAGTTACTCACCTGTTGAGCGTAAATAATAAATATATCTAAATATGACTGCCTCATGATTCAATGTTGATAATACGTTAAGGATACTTGGAATTAACTAGTGCGAGTATTTATTAACTTACTCGTTTATTGTCGACTGTTGATACCATTTATGTGGTGATATACTATGGTTTAAATTGTCTGTGGTAGACTCTTTGATAAACTATATAAAGGAATCTGTTATTTGGCAAACACTAATAATAAGATTTATCCATTAACTCTTACGTCTTCATATTTTGCACCGACCACAGGAAGTTCTCTTTGCCTTTTTCTCCAGACTACCTCTGTGAAACTCTTCTGTCCTTACTCAACCGACTATAAAAACCCTGTACACCATTCACTGACCATAGAACGGCCCCTGAATACCCATCACTGATCATAGAACAACCTATTTACACTCGCCCTCGTATCACAGAACATCTCTCTTGCACTTGCAATGGTAACAAATAAAACAGCAAAATAATCGACAAAAGAGCAAATCCCTAACACTTACCGACCACAGGACTATCCCCTCACTCCCCATGCACTTATCTCCCTCTCATGCATGCATGTGTATTTTCGTTTGAGCTGCTTACTTGATTTTTTAAGTAATAATTCAGCAATTTCCATTGTCCTGAGAATAGGTTGAATTTGATTATTGAATGTAATATAGATATACGCGAAGCAACAGCGTAGTATGCTCTGGCTTTACCAAAAGTTGCATTTTCAAGAATATAAGGTATTACGAGGAACAATTATTAATGTTTTTTTAAGGTTTTAGAGATTAATTACAACCTGAATGTGTTAAAAATTCTTATGAATATTTGTTTATTTATTTTAACTTTAATTCTAAATATGACCCAAAAAGTATAACAATCAGAACATATTTAAATATATATCAGAGGTAGACCTCTTTTGTACCTTATATACTTAAAACAGTATGAGCTTGTTCCTAGCAGTGGCTGAGGACCATGAAGCAGATTTTACAAATTAGTCTCATAATATTTGCTTAATATATTTAACAGAAAAAAGTATTTGTAACGTAGTTAAATTTTCATGAGGTCTAGTGAAAAATCACCAGGTTGATCCCAGTCACCGTTTCTTTTTTTATTTTATATATATTATTTCCAGGAAAGGGTAGATTTATTTGTCGAGATATGTTTTCAAAGCTGATACTAAGAGAACATTTTTATCACACTCTTAAGCTTAACCTAAGAATTACCGCAATATGATGTTACTAAACATATGCATCTCTCGGCGAATCCAATATCTATCCCTGATAAAAAAAAAACGGGTGTAAAGAGGATTACCTTGGGGGCAACAAGGCAGATGGTGGCACAGGTGTTGATCCCACCCCTTCCAGGTCTGCCGGACCCTCCCGTGGACGTGCAGGTGGAGCCAGGCCCTCAAGACGGATCACTCCTCGTCACTTGGCTACCTGTCACCATCAACAGCACCGGCGGCACTTCCAACGGCGCTCCCGTCACCGGATACGCTGTCTATGCCGACGGCAAGAAGGTCACCGAGGTTGAGAGTCCCACAGGTGAGTCTTTCTGCCATTTGGTGAGAGATACTGATTATTTTTATTAACTTGGATAGGTGTGTGATTGTTTGGAGGTTTGTTGGTATATTTGGATGTGGGCGGGTTTTCCGGTCTGTGGTAAGATTGGGCTGTATATAGGTGAGTTTGGATATGTGTGGGTGTTTTTGGATTTTTATGGCCTGTTTAAGTTTCATGTTTGTGTGTGTGTGAGCGCTATGAGGTGTAATTTAGGCATAGTTGGGCGTGTTTGTAAGTTTGTGAGTCCGTTTCGATGTTGAAGTGTTTGGGTATTCGTACTAGATGCACTCACATGCATGTATTTGTTGGACAGAGTTTCCAAATATTATTATGAACCACAAACCTCAGATGGCTTGAATGAATGTGAAGTTTTATGTTTTTGAAACAGTAAACAATTCATTACACATCATTTAAATTCATTAATCTTATCATCAATGCTGTTTTCTCTGCTCATTGAGTCTTTGTTCACTCTATAGCAAGTTAGTAATTGCAAAATACCCTCGAGCTTTTATGTTTATACACAGCGCAGTACATAGCCATTATTAGTTTACCCATATGTTCATGAATGACATCTTGTTCTGTATTTCCTACTCTCTTCATTGCTTCCAATCATATTCATTGACCTCCTCTGTAACCATCCATTCCTTCTACCCCACCATCTGATTTAACTGGGATACGTTACGCGGACATTTGATACGCATTGCTACACGAAATATAAAATTGGGTAAGCTCTTTTTTTCATGGCATACAAATTCCCCCTCAAAAGCACATCCGAGCATCACACGAAAGACGTTGGTGCGTACACCTTGTCAACCATTCATAATCCTTATTCGTAGAAGGATACGAACAAGCTTTGGGACGTCACGAGGCTCCTGCCAATCGAACTGATTGGATTTTCCTATTGCTTGAACTGATATGGGATAAATAAGACGTTGAAAAATTGTAGCGTGCAAGGTTCCCAGCCGGTTTAGTTTTACTGCTGTGGATGCGCAAGCTGGATAGCTTATTATCGATGAGATCTCATTACTCGGAGAGAATATTTCTGTCGGCATACTAGCCTTTGATCTGGGAACTTCAAACGGATGCATTTCTCCGTAAGTATTTTTTTAATAAATATTTGAAAAATGATACATATTTTCCTGTACTTTATTTTCTGCTTCAAGGGGCTATAATAAATAAATACGCATGTATCATTGGCTATATATTATTTGCCACCAAACGTACTGATGTACATGTCTTTTTAGGTTCACTTTCTCTTATTTGCTGAATCAGTCTTGCACGCCTGGTAGACCTGGAAGAGCCGTCTCAAATTCTGGATCCTACAAAGTGGATAAAAAAAAAGTGAATTTGTTTGTAGCTTTACAAACAAATCAAAGATTTTAGGATTGTTCGTTAATATTTGATGAAAAATTAAATCACAATCGTTATTCTAACATCAATTTTGTTTTTCGTTGCTATTGATGTGTGTCTGAGATCGCTGTAAATAAAACTGTATTCTCGCATAATATTAATGTGGTGCTGAATTCCGTAAAATTCTCACTGCCATTATCCAGCGTGGCTTATAATAGGCACACTCGCTGACCTTGCTTGACCATTCTCCAGATTTTACTAGACCCTACTGTAGTCCTTGCCTAACCTTCGGGCAGACCCTGCTAGGCCTTCTAGCAGACCTCACTAGACATTAATGTATACCTTGCAAGGCCTTATTATTAATATTAATTATTATTTACTATTATTTATTATTAATAATAATTTATATTTATTATTATTAATATTAATAAAGCAGACACGCTGCATTACTACCTTCATAATCATTATAAGAATCATAAAATGTTTTATATTACTCCCTCAGGTGACCACGCCCTAATTGACCTGACGAAGATACCAGGGTTCGAGCCCAAGCAGGTGACGGTGCGGACTAAGAGCAGGGACAGTGTATCTGGTGACTCTGTGCCCAGTCAGATACCCACCCACTTCGGCCGTGGGCGTGGCCGAGGCAAGGTGAGCTCCTATGTCCCGATTATTTGTGACCGTGAAAGATTTTGCAGCTTTTGTCACTGGATGATGAGTTTCTACTTCATCTGTAGCTTATTGATGGGTTTCTAATTTATCTGTATATTTTGAAAGCGTCTCTCTACTTCCTCTATATATTTGTAATGTCTCTACTTCCTCTGTATATTTTTCATGTGTGTACTTCCTCTGCAACCTGTTGATAAGTCTACTTCCTCTGTTGCTTGTTGATAAGTTTCTATTTTCTATGTACCTAAACAAACACACACACACACACACACACACACACACACACACACACACACACACACACACACACACACACACACACACACACACACACACACACACACACACACACACACACACACACACACACACACACACACACAGCACACTCATCGGTCCTGGAACCAATTAAATTTCTAATATACGTAAATGACATGTCAACAGGAGTCGAGTTTCATTTGTAGATGTTAGCGGACCTCGCGAAATTAATGAAAGGAATTATGACGGATTCCTGTCTCAGAATAAGTAGAGGAAACAAAAACAAAATTACACGAAATACACAAAATATTTTATATACTAATGCCCTATATAACAAAAATGTAACTGATAAATAAATAAAAAAAATATGAATTACAAACTGCATGGAGTAGTGGTTAACACACTCGGCCCCTTAAAGTCAGGACCTCTGTTCGAATCTTGGAAGGAGAAGAGCGATTGGTCACCAATCCGTCCCTCCATTCGGCCCAGTGCACCCAACAGTAATTGGATACGTAGGTGTTGAAAGATTGCTGGGGCGTGATCTGCGATTAGCATGGCGCAGGGTAACCTAACCCGATATCACTAATACAATATGTATCAATTTAGATTAGGTTATATAATTTTTTTAGAACCAAGAAGTCCGAGATCTTCTTTACCGAGATTATAATGACCGGTGTATATTTACACTGAGAATAAGACCTCAGGTCCCATGCTAAGGATACTAATAAATTACTTTGTATCAAGCACGTACTAGGAAGTATTAGGAAGTACTAGGAAGCCTCGGAAGAGCCTTTCACATGTCTTTAAACTATTTTACATAAATTAAAAGTAAGACGACGTGAAGACAGCAACAGTTGTGATGGTAATTAGAATATGTTCACAACGTTTATCCTGTATAATGCAAATACATAAAAATTATGTATAGAATGTTGCAGCTAAATAGATTTTACCATGATTCTGTGTTAAGTAGGGAGAGACAGTGAGGAAAGAACCTTCAGCTTCTCTTTACCTCGTATATCCAACCAATACTAGTATCTTAACTAGGAATTTTAGTTGGAACTGTTTCAATAAATATTAGTAGAGACCAATATGTCTCTTAATATGGGAGTCCGCTAAGTCTCAACCTGCTATTCTGTCATTATTAGCAGTCAGACACAGACAAACGCAGCTTCATCTCTCCCTCTCCCTCTCTCTCTCCCATTCTTCCTCTCTCTCTCTCCCATTCTTCCTCTCTCTCTCTCTCTCTCCCTCTCTCACTCTCTCACACCCCTTCCCCCCCTCCGCCTTCCAATTATTCCTTTTGCGCTTCTGCACGAAACTATTATACACCTGTTTTATATATATATATATATATATATATATATATATATATATATATATATATATATATATATATATATATATATATATATATATATATATATGTATGCAATAGGAATAAAACTAGTTTACAAATTCTTGATATGTTGTGTTAACCATTATTTTATTTTATGCACTGTGCATATTTTGTTTATTGGTTTCCTAGAATCCCTTATATAATTTGCGTATTTATGTCTGTTTCTAATTAAGTTCCTCTTTTGATGTAATGCATTATTTTTAATTGCATGAGTTTTATAAATCACCCCAGCTTTACTTTTAGTTTTTTGGTTTATTTAGCCTCATTCCCCTCCCCTCCCTCATCTCAACAGTTTGCAGAAGATGATGAAATGTTGAACTCAGACATGGATCGCCCCTCCGAGTTGTCAGATATTGCTGAAGAGAGTGAAACTGAGTTGTCTGAAGAGGTAACTAGACGCCTGTGATAGCACCATCGCTTCTTCTTCTCCTATACGCAATTGTATTTGATTGGTTGTCTGAATGTAGCCAGGTTTCTCATTTAGTTTTATATTTTTTTAGTTATAAAGGACATCACATGAAGTCTGTCTGTATATGATTTAAATTAATTAATTTGTACATTTAGTGAAGTATTAACCACTGGGCCTCATTTATGATTCCTTGAGTGTACAATATGTCAATTAAGCCAGCTCGTCAACTTTTAAAGCAAGGTATTACGAAATCCAGTGTATATGACTGTCTCATTTAAATTATTTTATTTTGTAATGGTTTTAACGTTCAAGTTAGAACTAATTCAAAATGTGCTCTTTACTTGTCACACATATTTATCACGGTCCTAGAACACATCTTGTATTTAAACTCACCAGAGAGTTTTTATGTTGGCTTATCCAGAGTTGACGAGTAAAAAAAAAAAATATTTCTACCATTTGCTTGAGCCTCATGAAAATATATAATATAATCTTAGAAAGTTATATGTAAGACAGCTTATTGAGAGTACAGATATTTTGTTTTTACAGACAAGCTTTCCTGTGTGACCTGCTGGCGAGGGTCGAGTCATTTTCGTGGGGACCTGTAGATCAATATCGAGAGTTGGGAGGTGCTGGGCTGGGCGGGGTTGGGGTGGGGGAAGATCCTGGGACGTGAGGCATGGCGCTGGCGGGGAGGGGCATGGGGGAGCACGGTGAGGGCGTACAGGGGGTAGGACACACCAGGTGTAAGACTCGGCCGGCAGTGGCTGCGAGGGCCTCGGCCTGACTGCTGTTTTAAGATCAGTTCTCTTATCTTGACAGGACATGCATGCCGATGGCCATAAACCAGGCCCGCAACATGGCCTGCCTGGGCCACACCACGGTCCCGTTGGCCCACACCACGGCCCGCCTGGCCCTCACGCTAGTGGCCCTGGGACTCTACGTGATAGATTATTGGGGCGTCGTGGAGCCCCAGCTCCAGGTGTTCGAACTGATCATTTGGGTCAGACCATCTTGGACCACGAAGATAACCTCAGCGACAAGGAGATCTACCCGGGCCACCAACAGGGGCAACAGGGCCCCCACGCCCCCATCCCGGCCATAGGTGAGTGTTGCCACGCCCTCTGAGTCCACCCCGACCACCTGCGGCCACGGGAGGAGTGGTAGCAAAGCCGCATGTGATGGCGCGGGCGGCAGGTGCTAAGAATGTCTGGCTCACCACACTGCTGCTGCTGGCGATGCTTCCACACCGTAAACATTGTTCTGCTTTGCTTCACTCTCTTTTTACTCATGCTAATAAATCTCATTAGATTGAAAAATTCTTGTATCTATAGAGCTATAGGAAAATTCATGAATAACCTAAATAATATAATGAATAATAAGTATAATTTGGAATTAACTTTATTCAATATATGAGGTACCGTAAATAAACTGAGGTTTCATTTCATATTTAAGGTTCCGTATCTATAGATAATAGTTTTCATTGGGCAAGATGAATAAGATTCGCGTTTTCTCTCCCTCAACCTCCCTCCCTCACTGGCTCTTGGCAGGCCCCACAAGGAGTGGTTTGGCCAGACTCTCAAACTCTTTGTTCAATACCATAGGGCAGTTAAAAGGTAAAGAACGCACATGCTCCTTCATAACATAATGGAAATTGTACATAGTTTGAATGGATACCCCCAAGCAATCCTTAGACTCTGTAGGAGAGACTTTAGACGTCGTAAGTCTTCTTTTTAGCCGTCTTATGTAGTGAGTTTCAGACTTTTTTAAGTGTAGTCTTGGTGAATAGTGTTTTACAGTATGTGGCTCTCCTTTTGTATTAACGAGAGCCTTCTGATATATCCATGTTTCAGTAGTGTACATAATTTTGAGAGTATCTGAGTAGAATTTTTCCGATTATAATCTCTTTGAGGACAGATTAAAGTAAGACAGTTCGATGTCATGTTTGTATGAAAGCCTAAGATGAGTCAACGGTTCCCATCCTCCATGTTTGTCAAATTTGAGCGAACATTTTGGACCGGAAGCGGTCTTGATTTCTTCCAATATTTTTGGGTAAAATGTTTTCGCTTTAAAATACGTGACGGAGGCAGATGTATTCCTCCTCGTCCACTTTACACTCGCTATATCACTTTTTGCACATCACTTATCATTTTTTTGCACATAACTTATCTTTCTTTTTGCATAGCACTTTATCACTTGATAAAGACACGCTTTACCACCCGGCTTTCCTCGCCACCATGTTGTACAACAATTTTGTTTAATCGTATATTTTTAAACACGTTACTCTGACTTAGCTACTTCACTCTGCTTAATCACTGAGTATATAAAAGCATTAAAAGTGTTATGCTATGCGAAATCCTCTCACCTGTGCATGTCTTTGAATCAGATGTCATTATGTCGACGGTGATGGACAGTGAGAGAATGATACACGGTGAATTTGTGTTTAAATATATATAATTACAGCACGTATGGATATATGTGTGGCTGTGTGCACGAGCTGTTGTATGTATGGGTGTATGTATACAGGCACGTGGCTACTTGGCCTCTGTGGGGACCAGGGTTTACAATATGAGGCTGGGAAAAGATAGGCAGAAATATCCTTTAGCTAAGAGTAACATAAAATCTGTACAATGCACAATTTACCTTCAGCCTTCCTCATTCTCCTCCACTCTGCCACTTGGACTGGACGGTAGGGCTACAGTCTCGCTTCTTGCAGGTCGGTGCTCAATTCCCGACCGTTCAAGTGACTGGGCATCATTCCTCATACACACACACACACACACACACACACACACACACACACACACACACACACACACACACACACACACACACACACACACACACACACACACACACACACACACTGAAGCCCACATAAAAATAATAACATCGGCGTATGCGAGGCTGGCCAACATCAGAACTGCCTTCAGAAACCTGTGTAAGGAATCCTTCAGAACTTGTATACAACATATGTAAGGCCAATCCTGGAGTATGCGGCCCCAGCATGGAGCCCGAACCTTGTCAAGCACAAGATGAAGCTGGAAAAAAGTTCAGAGGTATGCCATGAGGATAGTCCCAGAAGTAAGAGGCATGAGTTGCGAGGAAAGGCTACGGGAAATGCACCTCACGACACTGGAAGACAGAAGAGTAAGGGGAAACATAATCACTACCTACAAAATTCTCAGAGGAATAGACAAGGTAGATAAGGATAAATTGTTTAACACGGGGGGTACGCGAACAAGAGGATACAGGTGAAGACTTAGTACCCAAATGAGCCACATGGACATTAGAAAGAATTTTTTCAGTGTCAGAGTAGTTAACAAATGGAATGCAGTAGGCAGTTATGTGGTGGAGGCTGACTCCATTCTCGGATTCAAATGCAGATGTGATAAAGCCCAGTAGGCTTAGGAATCTGTACACCAGTTTATTGACAGTTGAGAGGCAGGACCAAAGAGTCAGAGCTAAACCCCCGCAAGCACAACTGGGTGAGTACAACTACGTGAGTACATTCTCTCTCATTCATTCACACACATACACGCAAATATACATACACACAACAACTTACATACATATCACCATACACTGCTAACAAAATATACAGTACTATTATATATTCATATGGCGTTCACATATACATGCATATAGTAATATACATATTAAAATTATATATAAGAACTTTTACTATGGACTAATTGCTAACTGAAATCAATAAACGTTTGATTCATGAGTTAAGAGTAGACAACACATTGTTTGTAGAGAATTGCACCGAGTAGTGTAGAGGTCAAGATGTCATTTACCCTTGGCTCTGTTGTACATATCTTCACGGCCCTTTACATACTTTAGAGCATTAAGGTTTAGCTAATGTACTGTATGTTTTTCTATACATTTCATATAAATAAAATATTATACTTTCATGTTTTGATAATTTATTTATATTCTTTGATACTTATTAATATATTTGTAGTTTATGATATATAATTTATTCGTTTTTCTTATATATCTTTATAACTATATATTTTTGGATTTGAGGATTTTGGTTTCATCATAATTTACATTTTATTTAACAGATTACTATATTTATATAGAAATATATCATTATATTTTATAATTCTAGATATAATTTTATTAAATCAATAATTGTAATTCTTGTTGTTGGTGGATACTGTTGTTTTATGTTTTCTACTCCCTTCTTTTAATTTAAACTGAAATACTTTATTCATAAATGTATGCGCATTTATGAATATAGATAGGATCTGTTTTATTTTTTTCTGCTCCGAGTTTTCTGTTTATTTCAGTTAGATATAGAATATTCTAACTAATAATCCTTCAGTTATAGGAGTAACTTAGGCACAGGAAACCCCCGCACGAGGTCATATAGCCAGTGTCTGTTATAGATAATCAGCTGATCACGATCGTTGAGGAATTTGATCTCTTAGTGACTGCTCTCACCGCAGCTGTTCCTTGTCCTTCCTCCATGGTCGTGATCAGTTGGAATTATTATATGTAGAAAATCCTAAATGCTGGAGTTTAGATTTTTTTAAACTTAAAAAGTGTCATCTGTTAGTCTCAGTATTCCTGTCTTGAGATATATTCTAAACTGGCTTCAGTAATCACAGCAGAGAATCTTGCTATACACATTCAGAGTCTGTCTTTTATAGCACTTTTTCATATTCTCTACAAGTTCTAAGTCTTAACTGTATCAATCTGTATTTTCAATCATTATATATTTTTTGAGTTTGACTTTACTTCCATGTTTGTCAGAGCCTGAACCATCTCTTTCCCCTACCAGGCAAAGGCGCCTCCCGTGTCAGACGTAAGTACCAACGCCTTCTACAAGACCAAAAAAAGGGTTACACAATTTTCTTTGGCTTTTCTCAATTTCTGTAGAATATTAATTTTGAGAATGGTTTTAGTTTCATGATATTCTTTTTGTTTGGTAGATTTTGGGTTCCTGAGGATTTGTGTTTGAGAGCTGACCTTTTGGACTGGCCTTATAGCCGTATTTATGGTTGTGAAAAATATAGAAACTAATGTTTGGGTCAAGGATTCCTTAGCTTCTACTTTGGTTGTTACTTGTATTTAACATTCTATCAACTTAAATATGCCCCTGGGCTCATTGTTGTAATTTCTACTGCTTTTAGTTTGTCTTGTTTGAGTATTAACAGAAATAAGTGCCTGAACAACTGGTTGCCATTCTTGGACTAAGGGTTTCAGAACATTTCTGTCTTGGGTTGAAGTCATACGAACCATGTTTCTGTCCTTTGTTTCAGAGACTCTGAGGTCCAGTTTTTGAAGATAAATTGCCGTAATGGATTACTGCATTTGATTTATGGTCTTTTAAATTAAGATATTTTGAATTGGCGTTTCGGAATTGAAGGCTGTGGATATATGGACTTGGCCCCTGATGGTCGAATGCCCTATTTCCAGATTTTATTTTTAACCTGTAGTTTTCAGGTTTTATTTCTGAAGTAAGGCTTTTTAGTAAAGTTTGAGGGCCTGATAGAATCCGCCGCTTTAAGCAAAAATTTCAGGCTGAGGTGAAATTATGTTTGCAAGGCAATAAATTAAAAAAATTAAAAGACGCGACGTCTAAGTTAAGACCAGAGATATCTGTTGTGCCTTTCTCCAAATTGGAAGTAAAATCCACCTCGAATTAATAATGAACTTATAGTTCATCAATCAGTAACGATATTCATAAATAATTAGTCACTTAAAATTGGCATAGTTAAAAAATTAAATACTTTTAATTCATTTACTCAAGGAAAAAGTTATTCAAATAGCCCAACACTGATCATTCTAATTATTATAACTATTATTAGTTTACAAAGCACATATATGAAGAAATGTGCAATTAGCGAGGATCGGTTGGATCTTAATATAATTATAAAAGCACATTACGCTTTAGTTTTGACGATAGGTATAAGGAATTGGTCGACCTGTCCAACAACGAAGAACAAAAAAAAAATCTTTCAAAATAATTTATGAAGCTTGAGATACAGAAATGGAAAAAGCTGCTTCAATAATAATTGCTTGTCTGGTGTATAATTGGGTACTTAAGGAAAGAATACCGCAAGTTCATCAGTTCGAGAAGCCTCACAGAGCAACTTTTAAACTTTCTGGAGTTCAAATAACACAATTTCGTCCGAATGAAAAGTTTGAGATTTGACCATTTTAATACCGAAGGTTGATTCCATTCAAGCACAATGACTTAATTGATATGGTAACGTCTTGTCGAACCTTTTTTTTCTCTGTGAAAAAGGAATGAAATTTGTTTTAAAGTTTCATCCACATTTCAGATTTACTATTATATTTTCCTTAGAATTACTACTAATACTGATGATAATACTAATTTCAACATATTTAATAGTAATTGATAATAATAATTGTAGATAATCGAAACATGTAGCAATTAAACTCAGTTACGTACTATTAAAACATTTCATCGGGTTCATTATTATTGAATGTGAAATGTGAAAGATTCTACACCTGGCTTACTGCATAATTTTGTAATTATTTAATCGAATCAGACATCTTGAAAAACATCCTTCCAATTTCAGAATAAGTTTCAGCAGTTCAAGCGAATGTTTCAAATAACATATCAACATATTGGTTGATCACTTTCAGTTGTGGAATGTCGACTTCAAATGTAGTCTTATGTAGTCTGTATTCCTCTGCTTTACTGTTTATAAGAACAAATAGCCATATTAGAGCTGTTTATAACTGCAATCTTCCTTCGCTTAGAATCTTATATTGTGTTTGTGGTCTGCAGAAGGTATATACTTTGTTGGAAGACAGCAATTTGGTTTTGGTGAAGATATTCACCAAAATAAGATTAGTACTTTGTCGTAGGCCAATGAGCATTTTTAGAAAGAGATGAAGGTTTGATAGGAATGTACGCTTTTTGGAAGAGCAAAGCTTACGAATTAAACGCTTGCCAAATCAAAAGAACAGCCTATTACTGCACTGTGTGCAGTGCTGTGGTCTTTTCTTCCTTACTTATATAATAATTTGTATTGCATTTGGTTTCTGGTTCAGTCTCTTACTTTATCTGACCCTCTCATATTATTCTCTTTAAATAGTCGTTTTAGCTTCAATAATCCATTCTTAGTTCTGTAAGTTTCTTTTTCTCTTAAATAGTCTGCTCAGTAAAATAATTACACTGTTAGAAGCATTTGTTATGTTTAACGTTTTAGTTTGCTCGCTTAATATCTTCTCAACACCCGCATTGTTATTTATCTGCTTGTGACACACTTCCTCGTTTCCCTCCATGTGATGCCTCCGCCATGTTTTGACACACTAGAGAGAGGTCTCTCTCTCCCCTCAGTTCCTTTTTCCCCTCCATGTAATTGTTCTACAATGTTTTTCCAAACAACGGCAGATTTCACGCTCGACACCTCCCGGCTAAGACTTTGTTCTGTTAATCCACGTGTAACGCGTTGTCTTTCCTTCCCCACACTCTCAGAGTAATGTACCTGTATAGAACCATCCAACAGCATTTCTGAAATTGGCCAAGACAAGATTATTATAAGGTCAAAGGAAAACGTTAATTTATGGAAATGAGAAAACTAATTAATCTACACTTGAGATTTTGCATTTAGAAAGCTCAGTTTTTTGCAAGAACGTCTTAATCACCCAAGGCACGCTCCCGTTTTCGCCTTTTACGGAATATATATATATATATATATATATATATATATATATATATATATATATATATATATATATATATATATATATATATATATATATATATATATATATATATATATATATATATATATATATATATATATATATATTCTCTCTACTACAATATGCACTGACATATTTCATTTAGTGCACTAGTAGATGGGTGCTTCACACACACTGGCAATTATATAGGTCACTGTCGATCTGCAGGTACACACATGAGTATCTCATGTGTGTACTCAGAACACCAGAGGTTGACTTGATGAACACTTCTGATAGGATAGCTCGAGACATCAGTAGTGTTGGTAAATGATAGAAAAGGAACAACTCATCCTCTAAAATGATAGTTCATATAGAAATCATACCTGTACAATTGATATTTTAAAGGTCATAAAAAATTATGCAATAACCAAATTTCACTTCCTCTAGATCAATGTTGTTATTTTAGATTTAACTACTCGGAACAAAACGTTCCAAGCAGCACGGGCTATAGTGGTCCCATCGTAATTACCTGGCACAGAAGATGTGCGCTCTAGGTCTAATACAATCATCCCTAGGCGAATTAATATTAATATTATGTATAATTTTATATATCTATGTCGTATATCTGACGCAGGAGAGTAATTTCAATCTAGTTCATACTTGAATCATTATGCTGATCGGCGACTTATAACAAAATTAGCAAAAAAATAATTAACTAATGTGGCTGAATGAAGCTCAGGGATAGGAAGGAAACACTGAAATTTTCATTTGATGAAACTCGTGTAACTGTTAATACTATTTCACCAGAAACATTAGGATAAGGGGTATAACTTCTGGGGTATATATTACTAATGACATCAACAAACACTGACCTTGATGGAGAATACTGGTGTCTCTGCACATTTGTTTAGCTTGTTCCATAGGTTTTCAATATTGTAAGCCTTCCCCTTGACATTGCACTAACTCACCGTGGAATGTCTTGATACCTGCCACCACACTACACAGTATGGTCGAAACCTTACCCATCCAGGTAGTCGTAGTTACCTTGGTAGTTTCCAGTGGTTTATGTGAGTGAAGCATCCACTAATCCGAGCTTCTCTACAGAGATAACCAAAGACAACGAGGGTCACGGTTCGCTAGAAGCTTTCAACGAAGAAGACTACGAAGTTGGGCCAGGTGGGCGAGGACGCTTCGACCCACGAGCCCCTCCTCCTAGGTCACACCAGGAGAGAGGTCGGCCCCCTCCCCCTCCGCACCAGCACCGACCTCTACCACGAGACGTGCGAGAACCCCGCGAGGGGCGCGACCCCCGTGACCCCCACTACCGAGAAGGGCGAGACCCTAGAGATCCTAGGGAGAGACGAGACCCCCATATGCGGGAGCCCCACCCCCCACCGCGAGATCCTCGCGACCCCCGCGACAGGTACGAAGGCGAGGGACGCCATCGAGGAGGAGAATACGGGCGTGAATACGGGCGTGGCGAGGGTCGTGGGCGTGCTGGCAGCGGACCAACCGGGGATCAGCACACCCGGATCTTCGTGGCACTGTTTGACTACGACCCACCCACGATGAGTCCAAACCCTGACGCGTGCGACGAGGAGCTGGGGTTCCGGGAGGGGCAGCTCATCAAGGTGTTCGGAGACAAGGACCCCGACGGCTTCTACTGGGGCGAGGCGGGAGGCCACTCAGGCTACGTCCCCTGCAACATGGTGTCTGAAGTGCAGGTTGGTGACTAAATCTTTTAAGTTATGAAGATATTGAGATTTGAATCTGTGCCTCTTTTAGAGGGAGGTGATGTATATCTTTATTTTCCTCTGAATAATAAAGATAATGTATACATAAAATTAAATTCTTACATCTTAAAAGTTTATTTTGCATTGAATTTAACTTCGGTAAAAAAGTAATTAGCTGTATAACAGTAGTAAGCATCCATCAGTGTCAGGAGACTGGAGTTGCAATCTGGTTGTCGGGTTGGAGTGGCCTCTCCAGGGTGCTAGGCCAAGGTAGGTTGATATAGGTGAGTCACCCACGCAGAAGGTTCCCCCTCTCCACGGCGCCGAAAGTCTCCAATGGAAAGGCAAACGCCAATGCTATTGGCTTCAGCGCCATCGCAGGAACTACCAAAATGAGGTTGAAGGCAACATCGAACTGCCCTTGGGGCTCCAGCTCCGGAGGTTTAACAACACTAGTTCTAATTAATATGTGCCATAAATAACATTAGACTGAATATCCAAACAGGTTCCGGAGCTTAGTTTTGAACCATAACCAATATTGTTTCATTCATTCAAACGAAATGTAACATATAATGTCCTTAGTGATTTATTATCCACAATAAAGTGACTGAGACACATTTCCACAAATTTCAGTACAAAAATTTAGGAAGACTTGCATAACATTTCTTGCCTTAACAGTAAAGGACTTCCTGATGTCCATGTTACTGGAACGTTTTAATAATACCATCCACATGTGATTCAGATATATCCTGTTCCGAATGTCACACTCACCCAACTTGAATAAAAAAAATCCTCGTATTTTAGGTGTTTTCCTCTTCATATCTCATAATTTTCCAGCATTGTTTCTTTATTTAAATCATATAAATCAGCAGCACATATAAATGGGATTCTCTTTTCAGGCTCAACAAAAACAAAAATACCCTTATCACGTATTTAATTTTTGTTTTAAAGCTTCAAATCATTAACACCGTGAACGTTCCAAAGCAGGATTCCCAATGCAACGTTTCAGCAGTTTTTCTTGTCAGTATTAAGACCTGTTTCTGTTCTAGAGTTGGTTCCAGTGAGACTCTAGCTTTTATGACTCACTAGTAACATGCAATTCCTCATCATTCAGGTCGACGACGACCGGGTGGCACAGGAGCTCCTGAAGGAGTCAGAGACCGGAAGACGCCGACGGGATGGCTCAGTTGGACGCCGTGGCCACCAAGGAGACCGCTGGGGTGACATTTACGCCAACATGCCCATCCGCAAGATGATTGCCATGTACGATTATGACCCGCAGGAGCTCTCACCTAACGTGGACTCAGAGGTAGGCGCTGTCGTTGGGTCGGCCACCTATACTCGTCTGATTCGTAGTCGTTTTGTTTGCAGATTTGGATATTAACTTTAATCAGGGTTTCCGTTGGAAATTATTGTAACTAGTCATTGATGTTGCATTGCAATGTCCTTCTCGACAGTGGTATTTGCTCTCATTGCTAGCACTATGAGTATTGATAAATATATACATTAAATATTATCAGAATATTTTATCGGCGAAAGACACTGGTATTTCGTTACATAGTATACACATGAGAGGAGCGAGAAAACTCGAACTCTAACTTATTCACCTTTGGTATCTTGGTGCACGACCATCTGTCGCTGAAGACCATTCTCATGTTCATCCACTGGGTCCTGAGTGCTCAGAAAAGGAAGTATACTGAGAATATTGTTTCATTAATGACAAGTTTTTCATAATAATGAGAATAATAATTCATAATAGATCATCATAATGTATAACATCATTATACATTATGATCAATTAAATGTACTGGCAGACACTACAAACTGAACATAAGTATCCAAATCTGCATCAAACCTGCAACATAATTTACATGCATATAAGTATTACAACCTAATGTTCATGCTTGCTATAAGATGACCGGCGGCTGACCTTGTTATCGTGAATAATATTTAACAAGTAATGAATTGTAGCAATTTAGGATCAGTATAATAATTAACAGAAACTTTTAGATTCAGATCTTTAATGCAGCTTGAAAAGCAGTTAGTCAATAATGCCTGAGTAACAATGTAGCTGTACCACTATATGTGTAAGTATAACGAATTCTACTTAGTAGAACAAACATTTCTCTCAACATGGACTTGTTAGAGTACAGCAGAGCTGAGGCTAAGAAGATATGACTCAATAGGAAGCACTCTGCACTGTGTTGTGTACAGTTGATGTAGCACCAGTGTTTGTGATTGTAGAATATGCAACAATGTATAAAACTGTTTCATACTAGCTTTGTATCCTCACTCTTTGTTCAGGGATGATGAGCACAATTTCACGTCAACCCGGCTTTCATAGTTTTATTTTAGCGTCAATGTAGAAGGGAAGGTATCAGAAATTTGAATGTTGAGCGATTTATTGAATGCCTTAGAAACTATATAATAATAATAATAATATCAAACCCTTTCCTAGTATCAAGAAGGTATATCTCTTCAACTGTGCTCTTTTTTTCACTTGCTTGTATTCAATATATTTACAAAACTGTTAGTGTTGCGCCTCCTATGTTCAGCCCTATAGGCGGCCGAATTCATACGTGGTGGTAGGACGAAAGTCTACATTTTTTTTGCTTCCTCCGTATCTTTGCTTCAGCACCAATCATGGTTACTGCTATTGCACCAACTTTCTCCTCTTAACAAGGCTTTCTATCTAGTTGTCTTTTAAGGCACTGTATGCGATGTCCGGACTATACCTAATCTGTCTGTTCTCTTTATCCCACTGTAGTGTTGGGAAGTGTGACAGTAGGGTTTAGCAGAATGTCGGTGTATAATGGGAAGAGTCAAATTGGTGGTAAGAAAACACTCACACACACACACACACACACACACACACACACACACACACACACACACACACACACACACACACACACACACACACACACACACACACACACACACACACACACACACACACACACACACACACACACACACACTCACTCACACAAACACAGATATGGTGAGTACACAAACAAAAACACACACCTACACACACACACACACAGTCTAAGGAGATGGGGGGCGGGTCATTTAGGGCTGTTCTTCAGGTTCGAGAAGAGAAATGATGATGACCTGAACAAACAGATTGGAAATTTGTTGTCATTACAAAAGTACACACTTCTTATTCCTGTTGCAGCGAGCATGATTAGAATGAATGGTTAGTGTGACTCTGACTCGAGGATCAGGATGATCTTATTAACACAGTGAATAAGAGGAAGTAAAGGGGTTTCATAAATAAATAATAACGACGCTTATTTATTGCAGAGCAAGAAAATATGCAAGTGCCGGAGAAGTAATACAAAACAAAAATGAATTGTAAATTTTGTTTAAGTTCAGAAGCGTTATTAGTGGTAGAAAACATGAAGTTTTCAAGAAAATGTTTTAGGTAGATTAGGTATTGAGTGCTGGAAGAGGAGAGATGTGGTGGAGTGTGAACGAAGCGTCAGGAAGCGTGTGTGGGTCACATATGCATCACACGTTCGTCACGAAATAGAGACAAAGGCCTTCATGTGCTGAGAATAGAATAACTTTGGAACTTTGTGGACCCTGTGATAGGGTTTTTCTTTAAAACAAAAACTAAATAAAAAATAAATACCAGTAATAATCAAAATAATTGTTAACTAATCTAATGGACTTTTTGCTACTTTATCATATCATCTATATTAGGTCATGCTCTAGAAACTAAATATCGCTGACGTCACACACGGATATAAGTTTAAAAAAAAGTCAATAAAGTGTGTCTGGGATGTAGGTGAACTTTGTTATTAACTTTACCCCTGAGGCTATTATTTGGTCAAAATGAGCGATGTATCGACAATTGGCTCTTGGAAAATACTGGGACAATGCCAAACCCGCATTCATTGTGTCGTTGGTGAGGACTGAAGACATGTAGGCGACATTGTAGTCGTGCAAGCCACATTGTGGAAGTCATCAGACAAGGACAATCATGTACTCGAAAATACACATCCAATTCTGGAAGGCAAGAGACGTAATCCGCCAGTCTGATTAAAAGCAAAGCTAAAATAATGAAATTTAAAAATCAAAACGTACTGTCCTGATCGCCACCTGCAAACACACTTGAATTATGATTTACTTGTCCATGTCTAACAATGTAACCCGTTAAGTGCTGCAATACTTTTACTATTTGCCCAAGTGGTTCTGCCTCTCGAGAAGAAGACTGTGTAGATTCATGATTTATCTACACTATTTTAGACATAGCTTTTCAGTTTTTATAGACTGATAGTTAGTATCAAGAAGAAAATGGAGAAGGAAAAATGTTTCAGGGAATTAATAACTTTTAGTTTCATCAAGTTAATAAAGCCTATATAAGAATAAATATAAAACATATAAATAAATGTGTGTATATATATATATATATATATATATATATATATATATATATATATATATATATATGCGAACAAGCCTGAATGGTCCCCAGGACAATATGCAACTGAAAACTCACACCCCAGAAGTGACTCGAACCCATACTCCCAGGAGCAACGCAACTGGTATGTACAAGACGCCTTAATCCACTTGACCATCACGACCGGACATAATGAGGTGATAGCCGAGGCTATTTGAACCACCCCACCGCCGGCACTCGGATAGTAATCTTGGGCATAGCATTTTACCAAATCACCTCATTCTTTGGGGCACACGTGAGGAACACAAATGCGAACAATCGCATTGTTCGCATTTGTGTTCCTCACGTGTGCCCCAAAGAATGAGGTGATTTGGTAAAATGCTATGCCCAAGATTACTATCCGAGTGCCGGCGGTGGGGTGGTTCAAATAGCCTCGGCTATCACCTCATTATGTCCGGTCGTGATGGTCAAGTGGATTAAGGCGTCTTGTACATACCAGTTGCGTTGCTCCTGGGAGTATGGGTTCGAGTCACTTCTGGGGTGTGAGTTTTCAGTTATATATATATATATATATATATATATATATATATATATATATATATATATATATATATATATATATATATGTATATATATATATATATATATATATATATATATATTATATATATATATATATATATATATATATATATATATATATATATATATATATATATATATATATGTCGTACCTAGTAGCCAGAACGCACTTCTCAGCCTACTATGCAAGGCCTGATTTGCCTAATAAGCCAAGTTTTCATGAATTAATGTTTTTTCGAGTACCTAACCTACCTAACCTAACCTAACCTAACTTTTTCTGCTACCAAACCGAACCTAACCTATAAAGATAGGTTAGGTTAGGTTAGGTAGAGTTGGTTAGGTTCGGTCATATATCTACGTTAATTTTAACTCCAATAAAAAAAAAATTACCTCATACATAATGAAATGGGTAGCTTTATCATTTCATAAGAAAAAAATTAGAGAAAATATATTAATTCATGAAAACTTGGCTTATTAGGCAAATCGGGAGTTGCATAGTAGGCTGAGAAGTGCGTTCTGGCTACTAGGTACGACATATATATATATATATATATATATATATATATATATATATATATATATATATATATATATGTCGTACCTAATAGCCAGAACGCACTTCTCAGCCTACTATTCAAGGCCCGATTTGCCTAATAAGCCAAGTTTTCATGAATTAATGTTTTTTCGTCTACCTAACCTACCTACCCTAACCTAACCTAGCTTTTTTTGGCTACCTAACCTAACCTTACCTATAAATATAGGCTAGGTTAGGTTAGGTAGGGTTGGTTAGGTTCGGTCATATATCTACGTTAATTTTAACTCCAATAAAAAAAAATTGACCTCATACATAGAGAAAAGGGTTGCTTTATCATTTCATAAGAAAAAAATTATAGTAAATATATTAATTCAGGAAAACTTGGCTTATTAGGCAAATCGGGCCATGAATAGTAGGCTGAGAAGTGCGTTCTGGCTATTAGGTACGACATATATATATATATATATATATATATATATATATATATATATATATATATATATATATATATATATATATATATATATATATGTCGTACCTAGTAGCCAGAACGCACTTCTCAGCCTACTATGCAAGGCCCGATTTGCCTAATAAGCCAAGTTTTCATGAATTAATGTTTTTTCGACTACCTAACCTACCTAACCTAACCTAACCTATCATTTTCAGCTACCTAACCGAACCTAACCTATAAAGATAGGTTAGGTTAGGATAGGTAGGGTTGGTTAGGTTCGGTCATATATCTACGTTAATTTTGACTCCAATAAAAAAAAATTGACCTCAAA